TCTATATATCGTGAATATTACATATATAAATATATAATATATATCTCTCTGACAAATATATTGCATACAGAACATACAAAGAAATTCCATAAATCAATAATAAAAAGACAAATCAATTTTTTAAATAAGACTTGAACAGACAGCTCACAAAGGAAGACATACAAATGGCCAACAAGCACATATAAAGACACTCAACATTATGAGTTATCAGGTTCATGCAAAGTAAAACAACACACACATATACACACATACACACATACATGACTAAAATTTTTTTTAAAAGAAAGGATTAACAACATCGAATGTTGGAAAGAATGTGGAGCAATCCAAATTTTTATGTATTGCTGGTGGGAGTATAAAATGATGCGATAACTTTGGAAAACTGCTTAGTAGTTTCTTAAAGAGTTAAACATATGTCTACCCTGTGGCCAGGCAATTCTACTGCTAGATATTTTCCCAAGAGAAATGAAAACCTATGCTTACATAAAGCCCTATATAAAAATGTTCATAGCAGCTTTATTCATAATAGCCAAAAACTAGAAAAAACCCAGATGTACGTCAACAGGCAAAAGTGTTTTTTTAAAACTGTGGCATATTCAAAGAATAGAATATTACTCAGCAATAGAAAGAAATGAACTACTGATATATACAACATGAATGAATCTCAAAAGTATTATGTCTGGTGAAAGAAACAAAACACAAAAGAACATACATTGTATGATTCCAGTCATAAGAAATTCTAGAATAAACTAAACTAACCTATGCAATAGAAAGCAGATCAGCAGTTGATTGGGGGTGAGTTTGGAAATTGAGTGGGAAAAAGCATGAGGGAACATCATTCTAGGCTGATAAAAATATTTTGTGTCTTGATATGCAGTTATCAAAAGTGATTGAACTTGAAGATTTGAGCAATCTACTGTATATAAATCATACTTTGATTTTTTTAAAGGTTAATAAATGTTGTTGCTAAAGGATTAGACTTCAAGTAGTACTTCCCTAGATATAATTCCTAAAAATGTAAACTTTTCCTAAAGTCCTGGATCTGCACTTACTTTTGTCATACATGAAACTTAACTCTCCTTTTATTTCAGCGAACTATCTATGCTTAGGTTGGAAGAGTGGTCATCCTACCCATCTGAAATGTTCACCTCAAATACTTGGGGCAGGTGGAAGTAGCATGTCAGAAGAAACTGTGAAAACAGTGGGATAAATCAGGAATACTACAAAAAGAACAGACCCACCCTACTATGGGACTGTGGTTCAGAGCTAGCTCTCCAAGTGTGAAACCACAAAAGGCAGCTATCAGAGGATGATTCTTCACATGCACGCACTCTGTGCACAGATGTGGAGGGGTAGTGAAAAAGTCTTGCCTTATGTTTTCAACTAACCATAAACTGAACAAGTTACCCAATTCGTTGACTTGAACTTTTTTGTTTTGTCTTTACAGTAGTCAACTTTGAATTTAATCCTGGCTAGATGAAGCCACCTGAGTTTTGCTTTCACAAAAGACTTTCCAAAGAGAGGAACACAAAGACTTTCACTTAAATGCCTTGTTTTGCAAGTGCATTAAATCATT